AATCTAAATACTGAAAAGCTACAAGGCTACACCCATTTCATTTTAAAAGGTTATATTTATTTATCCGCAGCTACTCTTGTACATTGTTCTTTATTTATGATCACATACAATGTGTCCTTTTATTATGTGCTTGGCTCTCTGAATTTTGACACATGTTAAGTACACTGTGTTGATTAAGGAGTCAAATTTCAGCCTGAAGGTAAAATGACGCAGCATTTTCTGAGCTGCAGTCTTGAAAAGCACTTTGTGTTGCAAAACAGGAAACAGGAAACAAGGAGACGGACAGGTTATACAGACAGGTAGGATGGGTCCCTTTTTTTTTTAAATTTACTGTAAGCTTGGGGTAGTTTGCACACTGCATGATGAGCCAGTGCTGGTATCCACGTGCTGCTGTGCCCTCTCACTCCAGTGCATCTGCGACACAGGAACAGACAGAAGAGATTCCTTTACGCCAGCTTTACACTGCAAACACTGCAATTTAGTAGTTTTCCAGGCCTATCGACATGAGGATACCAATCATGAGGCCTGCTCTCCCCTCTACTACACTCAGTCTTTTCAGACCAGTGGCTGGAGAGATCACCCTTATTAGAGAACCTTACACCTAAATAACTGGATCAATTTTAAAACAGTCATTTTAACACACTTTCAGGACAGGGACAATGCATCCTTGGTCCTAAAATATCCACAAGTATAAATCAAGCACAATAAGCAGATGTCTGGGGACAGACGTCTCCGAGTGGCCCGGATTCTTGTCCCAGATTTATCACATACAAGGAGGACTCTGTTCAAACAAACAATCCTAGCATCTTATTTTTGAGGTCGAGCAGTAAACCCGTCTCTGTTGTGACTCACATACCTCTTCAGACACTTTGTAAACTGTTAAAAAAAAGAGTTTCCCCAAACTGCCAGGCTGTAAACTTGTAATTGCACTTGAGGCATTTTTAACTGTTGTTGCACAAACATCTATGGAGGGTTGGGGTTTTTTTTTTTATGTGACACTGTTTAAATCCAGCTGAGACTGGCTCTGTCTGGCTTTGTTTTTGCACTCGCCACTCTATTGCACAACCTGCAATTTAAATTTAAAGTTGCACACAGCAGTTTACCACATCTTGCCTCAGCAGGTACTTTTGAATCAAAAGAAGAAGAAAAAATGTTGCTCATAGTCTTTGAGTCAGGCTCAATTTACTGCATGATAAACATTAAACAGCTCAGGATACTTTCACTGTTTTGTGTGATTCATTTTACACACTGTTACCTTGCTCCTTGGTTGAATCCTGAGTGTTTTCATCTACAGAGGATAAAAAGCAGGATTGGAGATTGACTGAAGGTAGTCGGGGTGTTTAATTCAAACGAATTTTCAGTCTTTTGATTTTGATCTTACCCAAACTGGTCACAGCCTCAGTTACAACCTCATGGTGTTCTAGGAAAATATTCAAATAAAAACACTTCCTGTTTTTATTTACCTCTAAACAAGCTTTAAATACATTTTAAAAAGACACTAAAAGCACACAAATTGTCTTGGCTTTGTGGAAAAGTCACAAGCTACTCATTAGCTCCAGGCTCAAAGTGTATTTGTGCAAACTGTTGTGGTGTAATAAAGATTTACAACACTTACCCTGCCTTTGTGGCCCTGTCCACATTAATAAAAGCAGACTTTAACACTAGTGTAAGGACAGGAGCTTAAATTACACTGCCTAAAAAAAAATATGTCACAGACTCACCATCTGCGTCCTCAGAGGACTCAGACTCTGCCTCTGTGTGAAAGGGGACAGGGATTGAATTATGTGTTGCATGTCACTGTGCTTTGAGCTGGAGGCCTGCCCTCTGCTTTGCTGCCACCCGCAGGCTCACGATTGAACTGTAAATCCTCTCTTACCTCCTTGACCGGCAGCATCAGAATTTCCACCACCTTCTGCTGGAGGAGGATTTCACAGTTAAGTACTGCTTGTTGACCCTCAGGTAAAGAAGAATCACCTGCTTGATGTGCTTTTTGTTGTTGTTGTTTTTTTTTTACACACCTGCGTTGGCATCCTGTGAGTCCATGCGCTCCTCCACTGATGGAAACATGTTAACAGGTGATGAAGGCGTTTAACTTAGCGGTCAGTTCAGGTGTTCGTTGTGTAATTAACTGGAGCTTACCAGAGTGATCCTGAGTGGCCTCTGAGAATGAAAGACAGCATTACCACCTGGAACTGGATCACTCATTAAAAGGTTTAAGTTAAATATTTTTAGTCTGCCCTCACCGAGGTAGCGGGAATCTCCACTCTGATCTTCAGTAGCTTGATGGAAAAAGGCGAAAAATGAGTAATCACAGTGGGAATAAATATTTCCTCATTTATTCATCAAGGCCAACTTTTTGTATTAAACTTACCATTCATGTGAGCTTCCTGGTTTTTCTGAGCAGCCTCAAACTCCATCTGATCTTAAGACATGAAGTAATCAAAATTACAAAAGTAAGAGCCGAGAAACATCACACAGAAACGTATTAACAGTTAACTAAGACAAGGGCAAGCCAGTCTGGGTTATTTAGTGGAATATACTACATGATCTTAATTACTTTTAAGCCACTTTTAATGACCAAGTGTCCACTGTGAACACAGAGGTGCTCTATGGATACTGTACCTATTTTCTGCAGCTCAGCTAGCCCATCTGCATGAAAAGACAAGAAAAGTTTGCAGCAATGCATATGCTACCAACATCATCTTTACTGGTTATCATTATCATTATTCTTATTCTTATTATGAATCCCTCACCATACTTTGCAGCTTTTTCTTCTTTCTCTGCAGACTCCAGAGATGCTGAGAGCACTAGAAGCCATCACAACATTTCAGATATCTGCTCTCTTAATAAACATCAGCAACTTCAGGTTTCTGAAGAGCCACATTCACACATACAAGTATGAAATCTAAGAAAAACATGATAACACAAAACTGCATCTTAACGCTTTATTCCTCTTACCCGTGTGAAATGCTGCCACAGCAAGGAAAACAAACAGCGGCACTGGAAATCTCATCTTGTTTTTTGCTCTGGTTGTGAAAGATTTTTAGGGGGGCTTGTCACTCCAAATATCGTATATGGGGTTGTTGCCACTTTGCAGTCTTTTATATCTTCAGTGCCATCACATGTTGCGCTTGGACAGGCGGCTCTGGTACCATTGTCCCTCCCTACCTGAGGGGACAGCTGGGTGGCACATCTCAGCACAGACGTATCCTTATTCCGTCCGTCAATGCCACCCATTGTTGGCCCTTCAGTCACACGGACCTTTATTTGGGATGTTCGAGGGGGAAAAATATAGGGACTCCGTGTATCCGAGCTGACAACAATGTTCGTTTCCCTTTTTACGAATGGAAATGATTTCATCGAGAATACTTGGCTTACAAATGATGGGTCACAATGTAGCCCGGCAAGACAATCCCTCAATTAATCTCACACAGATCAAAGCGATCCCAATCTCATGATTACAATGCAAACTGATGCAGCTTTTAAACATTTTAATCCTTAATCTGTCATAAAAAAATGAGCTGCTCTTCAAAACCTCGAGATCAGAGGAAAAGCTGAATTTTAAATGATGAATTTTAAAGATTTATAAGAGCAAAAATAAGTTGGAAGACATACACAATTATAATTACTTATTTAAACCCTGCATTTAACTGAAAATAGCAAACAAGACAAAGCCAATTTTAAAATATACTATTAATATTAGCTAAGATGTGCAAATGGGATTGGGTGTGAAAAAACGAATCTGATTCTTTGTAAGTAAAGATGGGAAGGGGTTGCTTCTTTAAGTGGATCAAAAAGCAACAATAATTATATTTATAAATAATAACGGGAGAAAAGATTAAGCAAATACAGAGAATGATGGTTATCATATCACAGGAAATCAAGGGAGACACAGTTTATGCTGACAGGTGGGATGGCGCTCTTTTTGTTTACCCGTTGTAGCTCACTCTGCATGTGCTGCTGTGCTCACTCACTGCAGTTAATGAAATGGGGACAGGCAGGAGAGATCGTGTTACACGAGCATCACGTTGGAAATGCACCACACCTCTAATAGTTTTTATATGACTCACTTGTTTACGGGCAGTTAGGACATATGATTGTAGTGGCGGATGAAAGCAAAGTGCAGCCTAATCTATTCCCTGAAAAAGGGGAAGAATTTACTGCTCCTTTTACACCAGCAGCCCAACAAAGTTCCTTTATTTACTCTGAGTTTCTAATAACAGATAAAGATGACCTTTATTAGTGCATCAACAGTCTTTGACCTAAATAAGCTAGTCATTTTTAAAATGAAATAAACACTTGCTGGTGCCAGATGAGCTTGTCTGAGTATTTTAGAAACAGCTGATCTGCTGGGATTTTCCGATCTGCTGGGATTTTCCCGCATAACCATCTCTAGGGTTTACGGAGAATGGTCCGAAAAAGAGAAAATAGCCAGTGAGGGTCAGAGCTCTGAGTGAAAATGCCTTGTTTATGGCAGAGATCAGAGGAGAAAGACTGCTTCAAGATGATAGGAAGGAAACACCAATTCAAATAACAACTTGTTAAACCCAAGATGTGCAGAAGAGCATTTTTGAATGCAGCTCACATTATACCTTAGCAATAGTAAATTGCTGCCTGGTCTGATGAGTCTCGATTTCTACTCTGACATTCAGATAGCAGAGTCAGAATTTGGCATAAATAACAAGAAAGCATGGATCCATCTTGTATTAATAGGTCAGGCTGCTGCTGGTAACATGGAAGATATTTTGTTCACACTTTTAGGGTCACTTAGAAAAATCTGAGGAATGTTTCTGAATCTGAATTAAAGAATTTCTGAATATAAAAGGGGTCCAACAAGCAAGATCTAGCTAATAAAGTGGCATGACATGTTGACTTTGTACTTTTTTCAACTTAAATTTAAATGATAGCCAACTCATTGCCACGTGTTTTATCATCAATATTCAGAGCACCCCAACTTTCTTTGTATTTACAAACAGATTTATTGAGAAATACTACAAACATAATTTAATTAGACTTTTATTTTGAAGCCGAAGAGCAAACACACACACACACAAAAACAGTACCAGTCGCACTGATCACTTTACCGTCATTGGAAACACTTTAGAGAAATACAGTTTCAGTTTGAGAGTTTTCAGCACTGTTGAAATAAAAGTAGAAAATTCTTTTAATCAGTTAAAGTGCATAATACTAATAATATTTCAACTACTTGCCTCTAAAGGTTCTTAGGAAACAATTAGCAAACTACATTTTTTTTGTCGCAAAGTAGTTAAAGAACATGAAAGCGCCGTAGGCAGATACAGTATTTCTAAACAACATGACATCCTACAAATCACAGGTAGAGAATCATTAAAAACACACAGGAAGAACCAAATCATCTCTTAAACTGCAACTAAAATTTAATAAACACATACGCCAATTACCCTGCTTAAGGCACAATCATAGTTTAGATTAATTCTTACACACGTTATCTAGTGTGTAATGGGTTTAGACAGTTCGATTGTAGTCACTGTGGGACTAACAATGAGTCACAACTGACATCAATGTGATTTACTACAAAGAAAGTGTCTTGGTGGCACATTTGTTGCTGACAGCTGCCAGTACCCACTAAAAAACATACAGTAGTCTGCTGAGGAGGTAGAAAGACTGGAAATCCATCCGAGGACATACAAACAGATCAGCAAAGGGACATCAGCATGTTAGTAAACAAACAAGTGCAAGAATTTGGCTAAAGGGAAATGACAAGCTGACTTCTTTCTCTGTACAGTACACAGAACAGGAGCAACACACTAAAGAAAATGACAGAGAAACACTTGTGTGTCTGGCCAGCAGTGCAGCATGGTTCACAGTGATTGCACAATTCAGCACAGTGCAGTTTTGTTTTAACATTTAATGTGATTTGTGTTGTGTTGCTAGTGATGCCTGTGGCTTGTGATGCAGTTGATCTTTCTTTCTTTCTCTGCCCACCCCCCCATCAGTGATGAGAACAGTGTACTGCCCAAGTTAACTTCTGTGATCTGGGAAAGCATCGCATTAAAAAAAAAAAAAAAAAAAAAAAGTAGTCAAAACAGCCAGAAAGCATCTGAAGAAGTATTTTTAAAAGGAAAATTAAACAATTTAGAGATTTTTTATTTCATATTTTGTTTATGGACGTTATTTTCAATAATTTTGTCCTGCTTTTCTTTTCTTTGAGTATTTTCCTTTTAGTAATTTTAGCATGTGTGGAGTTTGCATTTTCAGTTTTAACGCCCCCTGTGGGTTAGAGATCACACTGCAGGTAGTAGTAGTATAGTAGTTTTACACTTACTTCTGTGTAATAGTGTGTTTGTATGTTAGGTTAAGTGGCAATTCTAAATTGGTCATAGGTTTGTATGTAAGCTGGCTCCCTGCATCCCTGAACTGGATATAAGTGATTAAGACCATGAATATATTCACATTACCTAAGGACAGAGTGCTTCACTTGTTTCTGTGGCTATGCTAGCACCATATAGGGACAGGGATAGCTAAGTAGGTAAGAGTGGTGGCCCCATTATCGGTCGGGGGTTTGAATCCATTGAACGGCTACCCTGAGGTACCCCTGAGCAAGGTACCGTCCCTACACACTGCTCCCCGGGTGCCCAATGGCTGCCCACTGCTTCACTGAGTGAATGGGTTAAATGCAGGGAGGAATTTCAATAAAGTATACATAACATAATTGTAACAGTTTCCTGGATTTTGCATTTCAAGGGCCACGGGTCAAACTCAAACCTGGACCGCTGCTCTCCAGCCATGTTGCATGTAGTTACCAGTCTGTGGTTGCCGAGCAGTTCAGTGGAGCACACTGAACTAAAGAGGCAAACCCCTAGATTTTGCTTTTTTGTCCTTCTACCAGAGCTACTGTTCTTCCTTTTTTGTAAACTAATTTGAAAACCAAATGAGAACTCTATGACTGCCTGTAAATAGATCTTGTAAAAACATCTTTGTTATACCATACCAACCTACAATTATCTGAAGTAGTTACATCATCCATGTGCAATAAGTGATTAAAATAATGATAGAATTGTGATGTGGGTAAACTGCTGGCTTGTTTAACTCCATGTTTATTGTCAGATTTTGTTAGACAATGTTACCTGCAACTAAAGATTATTTTCAATATTTTAGAAAATTATTTCAAAATTACTTAAGAAATTGGTCTGTGCATTCATAACAAGCATGTTAGACTGTAACACCACATTTGCAGGATTATCCAAATCATAAGCAGGAAAATGTTACTTTCTAGAGTCAGACCGCCAGTGTCCTTAGATGCATGTGGAAATTTAAACATATTAGTCCAGTACTGAAGTAACTTTTTTCTTCAATAGATCATAATGCTTACAGTGGTTTGGTCTCCCAGTACGTGTCTGACTTCTTCAGTGTGTATAACCCAGTCAGACCTCTCAGGTCACCAGTGGTGGATCTTTTAACTGAATTAGATCCAAGAGTGCTGGGGGTGCTTCCAACCTCAGCACAGCATTCACAGCTGCCTGCTGACCTGAGGTCAACTACAACTGTGTCTATACTCAAAACCTTTTTAGTCTCACAGACTTACACTTAATGACTGTGTGTCAACTTGTATTTTATTTCTTTGTAAAGTTTGTTTTGTTGGGGGTTTTTGCCTTAAGGCACTGTAGACTTGCACTGCTTTTTATTTTTTATCTTAAATGCATTGAATTGTGTAATGAAATGTCCTTTATAAATGAAATTGCCATTGCCAATATTAATCAATTGCTACTGGTATCTCGCTATAAATGAAGGACTCGCTGTATGTATGTGTGCTTCATCTATCTTGTCCACTGTTTATCCATTGGTAGGTGTATGTCTGGGGATTGGAGCAACTGCAGTGCCAAACTTTACTGTGTCTGAATCTTTTTGGGGATCCCATGCATAAAATATATCCAAAATATAAACATTAATTTAAAAAAAGACTGGCATAATCAAATGCCTCATTTGTCCACACAGACAGGTATAAAATTTTTCAATAATGTAAGACAAATATTTCCCAAACTAGAAAAGCTGAAACACTGATCAACTAAAGTTGCAGCTTTAGTGTCACCATGCTCCCACAGATCAGCATTTCCTCTGGCGACTACGATGTTATCTAACATATAAAAATGGGCTCGATTGATCTTATTTTATTGCTTCTGATTCTACTCTCAAGTAGTTCTCACTTTTCAGAGTTCTCCTCTCAGGCGCGTGTGCAGGTCTTCCTGGTCGATTTTGCTTTTTTGTTCGTGCCAGTGGTGGTGTGCCAGCAGAGCCACGTTCCTGGCAGCGATGGCGCTCATCTCCATGGCACTTGCTGCCCACTCCACAGCATTAAGGTAGTACAGCCGGTTGTGCAGGATGAACGGAGGGGTCTTGCGGTGCGGCGGATGGTACGCGGGGTATGCCAGCCATTTGGTCTCAGACACCGAATCATAGGAGAGGAACATGTTCTCCAGCTGCTCCTGGGACAGTGGCTTTTTAGAGAACACCTTCCAGACATTAGCTTGGCTAGCAGGGGGGCGCTTGTAACCTTTGGGGATGTGCACAGGATCCAGAGAGCTCAGGCTGTTGATGATGGAACCGTTTGAGTCTGTGGTGAGGACATCAGACACGGTGAACTCTGAGGCAGCTTCAGTGGTCCCCAGGTAAGACACGTTGAGCAAGCCGTGGACAAGAGTGGCGACCGTCTGGTGGTAGTGCCCGGGGTAGTGAGAAGGGATTGGAGGGGAAAAGCCTGAAAATGTGACGTCAGATTTCCCCCGGTGAAGAGGCGTTGCTACTATCACAATATCATAAAGGGAATGTGCAGCTCCTGATTGGTCAACATAGTTAATCTCGTATAAACTGACAGGGGTGCCTGAAAGTGGGACATGAAGGGATATCAGGATGAAATATGAAGAATCAAGAAAGAGATAAAGGCCGGATCTATATGACAGGAAGGAACGTTAATAGTACCTCTCTTGGATGGTCGAACTTTCACTGAAATGGAAGTGACTCTAGCAGGGATAAGCTCACTTTTGCTGTTGTAAAGAAGTCCAGAGCAAACTTTCTTATTGCCTCCATCCACTGCCCATAGGCCTGAATCTGCCCCTGCTAATGACACCGCCCCTAAAAACAGGACATGCCCACTCCATTTCATCAACCAACAACCAAAAAAAACAGTGAGATCTGTGCTAAATCACAGGTTTTGTAACATACCCACAAAGCCATTGATGCGGACACTCTGCCCATAGTTGACACGAGTGATCGGTGCAACAATGTCATTGATGAAGACCTGAGAAAATCCTTCTCCCATCATGGCTTCCTCCAGGGTCTGATTCATCAGAGTGAGGAAACTATCACCTCCCATGGCATGCAACAGCCTCTCTACGGTGGAGAATGAGTAGCCAAACTGCTGGTACTGGTAGATTCTGTTCAGAAAAGGATTTAAAGATAATTAAGGCAACCAAACAGCAGTGAAATTTAGAAGCCACCAAAAAGAAAACAGCATCCTCACCTCATAAATTTATCCAGAACAGTCTCCACCCACATCTGCATTCGAAGAAAGTTCAACCCGTATCGCCAGAGCATGCAGAAGAAATTTACTATGAACCAGTCGCTCTCTTCGAACAGGATGTGCTTTCCATCAAAGATTGCCATTTTAGAGGGGACGTCTTTTCTCTGAGGAATACCTGTGAAAACATAAAGCTACAATTTACGCACTTCTTATCTTTAATCCAGGCGGTTCAGGGGATGGTAAATTTACCTAATTTATCAACAAAGTGCTTCATATGTAGGTTCAGAGGATGGATAACTGAGCCTCCCGTTTCGTATTCATAATCTCCAATCTTCACCGTCGCAAGTCGCCCGCCAACACTGCCGTCTTCGAACACGTCAATCTTGACCCCAGGTCCAAACTCTTGCCTCAGGTAATATGCTGTCGCTGCACCGCCAATTCCTGCTCCAACCACAGCTTTAAAAGAGAAGTGACAGGAACGTGAGCTAACATGAATTAACCTGCACATCTTTCAGATTGAGGGCTCGAGGACAATCAGAAAGTTTATTTCTCCTCCCGTTCTACCAGCGCTGGAAGAGATGAGAAGTACAACAGCTAAAAAGAGTGGAGAGGGATAATCCACGTTCTGACTGTCTGTAGTGGAAAAAGTGTCATAACAAATGTAGGCTGAGTATACAATGTAAGTAATAATAACTTGAAGTAAGTATAACAGCATAACTAAGTTATACTTCAGGGTCACCTGATTCAGGCCTAACTACAAGCTTTACCAAAAAAAAAGAGAAGTTTGAAGCCTCGTCTCAAATGTAGACGAGGAGAGAGTGACAGATAAGGGTGCAATGTATTTAACAAGAAAGCACACGTACACTAACACTAGTGCAGTGAATCATTATGCTGTCATTAAGAGTCACCTTTCAGTCTATTGCAAAAGATCTTTGCAATATTTATTTTGTTCCATCAAGGTATAGTAAAACATATTATGATTAGTCTTCTGTTGATTAGAATGCAATGTTAAAAAACAAGTCAACAAGTTTAAAATATGTGGAGGAGGTGGGTAAGCCTTGCAGTTAAATCTAATCCTTGAATATTTGACTTATAAATAAATATAACCTCACTGTGGCATACAGTGTATTGTAGACCAATGCATTTTTTGATTAGTAATTACAGAGAAAAAGGCAGTTTTATCATAGCTTTTTATTAACACATTCACATCCTATGACTATGCATTAAACTGGCTGTTGTTTGTGAACAGCAGATGAAATATGTTTGTTAAACCCCTTAAATTAAAGATCATATCCTGACTGTTTGATAAAAAAAAAACAAAAACAAAAAACAAACAAACAAAAAAAAAAACCATTGTGCTGGTATACAGGGGCAAAATTATTGTTCAGTTAGTCGTGGAACTAACTGATGATGAAACAACCAACAAACCTGCCACAAAGATAAGTTTAAGAGGGCTGACAGAATGAAAGTACTTCTCTGCCCTCTAAAGAAGCTGAAGAGTGACAGAAAGCACGAGTTTATTTTTATTTATTTTTTGCCTTATTGCCTTACCTATCTTCTTAGGCTGTTCCTGCAGCTCTGGGGCTGAGGCTAGACTTCTCCTTCCTGTGTGCCAAAGCCCCAGGAATAGCAGCGCTCTCAGTGACAGGGTTTGTAGTCTCATTGTGGGCATCTACAGCTCTGCACTAAGAAGCATCTGCAAAGGAGGGCGAAAACGTGAGATACTTAAAGTGCCTATCAGCCTTGGTCAAAGGTTGCATTCAGGGCCTCAAAAATAGAACAGCAAAGGAAATAATGGCGCAGCTTTTTACACAAGTGAAACTAGCATTAACACACGCACCCGACTTAACGTTTTAAACCTAAAAGAGAAATTACTAAGGGGTACAGGGCCCTTTCGAGGACTTACAATTTCAGAAGTCAATGGTGGGGAACTACTGTTGGTCCACAAGTAGCCTTCAGGGTGTCAAGCTTCAAAACAAGTGTAAAAACTCGTTTTAAAGCTCACTAAAACTTTTGTCAGACTGCTTAAATACAAGACTGAGCTATTCACAGAGGCCCCTGTAAAACCCACACGAAAACTAACTAAACTAGTTTAACGGTTGAATCACGTCTGCCCACCCTGAACGTCGCTAATTATTGAGACACACTTCCGGGCACGGTTGCTATGAATGTCATAATAAAAGCATAGGAAATTAGTTTCAAGCGATTAATGAGAAATGTGTGCGCAGAAATTTCGAAACATTTTAAAGCTGCCTACTGTAGGATTTATCTTGTCTGTAATAATGACTAATAGCTAACACAATTGTTATCCATATAGTTTTCTCAGCTTTTTTAGCGTCCTTGCGCTACACTTATTTTGTTTTATTTTGAAAGATGTATGAACAGGAAATGGGCTCAAATGTCCTTTTTTAAAGACACCAGCGGAAGTAGTTATTTACTTAATCACGGCAAAATAAATATAGATAAAGACGAGTTAGTTAAAAATAATTTTTGTGTTTATTTAAAAGTGTTGACACTTTTCAACCCCGTTCCCTAATTCTGAAGTAACAAAACGTATTTTTTCAAGTACGGAAGAAAATCGGAAGTGATGCAATTACTTCTCCTCTTGAACCATGCTTGAATGGAGGTGACCTTACTTACTTACTTACTTACCAAATTGTAAAGTAAAGAAAGTTGGGGACCCCGCGGGCAGGTGAGTCCGGTCCGGGTGTAATAAACTTGTGGTGAATATCTAAGCGGACCTTGAAGGTGTTTCCAGAGTGAGCAGAAATGGCAGAGGCTCATCAGGCACGCGTGCAGAATGTGATCGAAGACATGGTCCAAAGCCTGGAGAAGGACCACATCCGTAAAATGCAGGTAGGGTGTCTGCGGGTTCTCGGTGGTGTATGCAGGTTCGAGTCCGGGTGGTAACCGGTTGTTTGTTCTCGCTGCAGGGGCGCATGTTCAGGTGCAGCGCAGAGTGCTGCGATCGCTCCACAGACAGCATGGCTCAGGTGCATCAGTGCATCGAGACGTGTCACACTCCCCTGGCCAAAGCTCAGGGCCTGGTCACTTCAGAGCTGGAGAAGTTTCAGGTAAATCACCGTGCAACAAACACCTGTCATCACTTCGTCTGTGCCAGGTAACTAAGATTGGAAAAGTTAGAAAGGCAAGGCTGAGATAACTTGGACATGTGCAAAGGAGGGATAGTGGGCTTACTGGACAAAGGATGTTAAAGATGGAGCTGGCAGGCGGGGAGGCACATGGATGTAATGAGGGAGGACATCAAGAGAGTTGTGAAAGGGAGGATGCAAGGGATAAGGACAGATGGAAGCATGTGATCCAACATGTAACCTATATTCTGACATATGGTATAAACATAAAATTAATATAAGTGAATATTTAACTTAAAGAATAGATGTAGTAAATTATATCCTAGGCAAAAATAAGTGGGCATGTTTTTATATTTTTGCAGTTTCCCCATTTATTCTCCAAGTGTTACAAATCAAATGTCTGTTACAGGGTACTTGGGTGTTAACTGAGCATAAATAATGTATAGACTTGTGGGTACTGGGTTTTGGTGTCTAGGCAAAAAAAAAAAAAACTACACCTTTACATTGGCGGTAAAGAAGATGGCTTACTATTTTGATATTCCTAACTGAAACTGTGGTGCCGTTTGTCTTTTCATTTAAGTCTTTTTGATATTGGGCTTTAGGTAATAGGAAATAAAGCAAGCCATGTTGGATCTTGTTGTGGAAGTTTTCCACTTTAAATAAAGCCTGCAGACGAGCGGTGAGCGGTAGCTAACATTCTTTAATCCAAACACACAAAGAACATACAACCAAGCTTGATGGAGAGCCTGCATGACCACGGGGCAGACGGTCAGCAGAGTCTCCATGAGTCTAACATGGCTCTCAGTTAAATACCTTCTCCAGGAACAAAAGGCAGTACACAGCTGTTTCACACCTTAAGATTCACACTCCCTTGCTACCTCCCAGAGTCCTGGAAGAGACAAAAGACTCTTTCTTGTGGAGTTGTCTGCTTCCTTACTAGACCCCCCACCATTTGTCTTACAGTATGAGTGTCAGACATGTTAATACAATAAAATAATGTGATTAATACCTAAATGAAAGACATTCCTATACAATCTCCAGTTTGGAACCCTTAATTGACCTCTTTGTAACTGATTTTAAAATAAAGTACAGCAGTTTAAAATGTCAGTCTCTCAAGCTATACTTGCACACCCTTTCAAAGCACTAGTCAGATAAGCTGTTAAAGTCCGGTGGGTTTAGGGCTTGCTTAAATCCACAATATTACTTTTTGCTCTCCTTTAAGTCTCTCAGTTGCTCAACTCATTTTTAGTGTGGCTGAAGATCTTCATGACTCTGGTTGTTGTAATGTTTGGCTCATGTGACCCATCTCTAGTAATAATGAACTAGAATATACCTAATATTTAAAAAGTACATCTACAGCTGGTTAGATTTGCAGTAGATATCTGTAAAAATAAATAAATGAATAACATTTTAAAAAAATCCATGTCCAATCCTTCCTGGCCCACCTTCAGGACCGTCTAACTAGATGTACGATGACCTGCAACGATAAAGCAAAGGATCTCTTTGACTCCGGCGCCAAGGAGCCAGCTGTTCGATCGCTGATGGACCGCTGCGTGGGCAGTTGTGTGGATGACCACGTTAACCTGATCCCCAGCATGACCCGACGACTAAAAGAGAACTTGGACTCTATATGGCAGTGAGGGGCAGGATAAAAGACTGCAGTCCATCCAGAGGAAAGCTCGGGGGCATTGAGTTTATTCATCTAAGGAGTGAAGTGCTGGAAGTGCGGAGGGAGAGTTCAAAGACTGTGATTATTAATGCTGATGTGTAGAGATTTCAACTTTGAAATGAAAGTTTCTGGCCTGTTAGATCCAACTTTACCTGCAGCGAGAAAGAAATCCAGTAATGCACAAGGAGTCTTAAGGTGTGCATTTGTTAAACACTGTTAATGTATTTAATGCACATCTGTGTGTTGCATTTCAACATGTAAAGAAAACCAACCTGTGTAATCCACGTGAAGGATTTTTTTTTATTCTTGATGAAACTCCTTAAAATCATGATCCCTCATTTTTTTTTCTCGTTTCACATTCAATTGTGAATTTATATATCTGAATAAAAAGAACCCAAACCTTCTTTGGATGCATTACTCCAGCAACACTGAAAAAAAGTGATAGCAAATAACACTTTTGCATATATTTTAATGACAACAGTGGAGTATACTCTTATATACACACACATGGTGGTACAACAAAGGCAACACTGTCAGCTTTTCAGCCTGAGTAAATGATATAAAAGGAGCAATAAACACACTGCAGACCTGATGTAAACCACACAGATAATTTTACTACTTGAAATCTAATATGTTTATTTAAAAAATGTTTAAATTGCACACGTCTAATTATGCAGCCTATTTGGTAGAATGGAAATGAACTCATTTTTGTACAAATGACCGGAAAATGCACAGCGAGTCAAACCCGAGAAGTAGTCAGCAGGTAGGAGACGACGAGTAACTGTGTGTTTGTGACCTCACAACTTACAAGACTCTTACTTTTGGTCCTTACGTCATATAAATGTACAGCTGGGAAACGAGTGTTCTCTAAACTCTTTCTTTCAGTGATGTGGTGCTGGCTCTACCTCGGTACCTCATGAGAACCCGCCCATATTTCTACAGGGCTGAGAACCGACCATTAGTTAGCAGAAGTTGGGGGTAATTTCTCCTTATGTGGCCTGCCTCTGAGAATTTCACTTTTTTCCCCATTACATTGACTGTGTTCAGCACTAGATTAGGCACGCTGACAACAGAGAGATAAAAGAGAACCCAGATTAGATAAAAATCTCTTTGGTGAGCCAGGCTCTTATTAGCCGTTATCTTCTGAGCCTTAAATTCATTTATTACTGCAGAGACCAGAACAGACTCTGAAGATGAGCCAACTAAAACAAAAGATATGCCAACAGCACACTGACCTTTGAACCTTTTGACTAAAGAGAGAAACAAACAGCAACTGATCAGGCTTCAAGTTTCTTACGTTATTGAATTGGCCATATGAAACTGATAACATGCCTATCTATCATCTGTAGTTAAAACATAACCTTGCAGCTGCAATAAAAACCTTCACTAGATACAGAGATTTCGTGATAGCACCACAGCCCGTGTCAGAGGGCAATTTTATTGGCAGTGGAGAAATTGTTTTCAAAAGTACATCGATACGAATAAAAATGAAGTACAAAATAATAAATAATGGCCAAATAAAAGCTTTCACCTCCATTAGATATCAAAACCACATGAGGTAACAACAGATTAAGAAAACCGCCAAACAAATATTTCCCAAATTAATATGATAAGTATTCAAAAACAGAACTTAAATGGTACTTAGAGTATAGATGGTAGAGTGCCAAACAAGAAGCAGCTGCACTGTAAAAGAAGAGTGAGCAGGTGACTGCCTTAATACCAGCAAACACACAGTGGGGAGTATAGCTGATAAAAACTGCAGAAAGGAAATCTGGAATTTTTTTTATTTTGTGAGCCAAAAAAATAAGATTATGCTGAGAGCACCAGATAGCACAAGTATTTACTGCAACCTCAGCTTTAACTGGGGAGGGTTACTGAGTCTTAAACTTGTGATGCTGGTGGACATCGTGGATTATGAATTTTATACAAGGTGGTGGAAATGACCAACTCAGAGTGACCCATGGAAGCTACAGGCTGATAAAATCCTGCTTTTTTTGTGCCTCTGCATTTGTTGCTTCATCTTTTTGTCTACTGTTATGACCAGCAGCCGTACATTGCACTGAGCAGGTGTGTGGCTTCTTATGCAGCAGCAACGCAAAGGTGAGTTTACTCTTGTCCTTACTTAATGCACAATTTCTCCTTCTAAGAACAGATGTGTGTTTCCTCTTAGGAAATTGTCAGAAGCTCTGAAATGTGATGGAACTATTCAGTTTCACTGTTTGTTTGTGCTCCCGATGATGATGTCCTGTACACAGTGAAAAAACAAAGTGTAAAGTCAAGCCCTACAAAGTCTGCTTAATGACCACAAGTTCATAAGTGATAAGTCACGAGCAGACTATGAGAACACCTGGACTATCCAAACACCTGGAGGTTTCCCATCTTTAAGAATGGTCCAGCATCCCAGTGCAGATGGTTAACAGCAGAGGTACAAGGTGGAGAGAAGCTTCTCTGAGAGCAAAAGGTGGTCTGATCCCTCTTGACCACTAGCATAGGGCTTCATTATACTGTAAACCCCATGTAGACATATATACAAAACATTTTTTCCCCAAGAACATCTCGCTGAGTTTAGAGAGCATGCAGACGGTATGTCCAGTGTCAAAATGTGTTAAATGAGGCCATAGATTGTACATACAAGCTTGTGTCAAGTGTCTCTGCAGTAACAGAAGAATGGCAGCAGCTAATGGCTGGTGAGCAGGTATCAAGACACACTGTGAGCAGACCTGTCTTTGTCTGAGGAGTCTGGACGGTGATCTGACTGAGGTGATGTATACAGGAAGTTACAGCACACGTAGAGGGGGAATGATAACAACCGGCTGTCCAGATTCATCACCACATACTCCTGTAGGATTGAAGGAATTGAAGCATGATACCAAGTTTACAATTTCCTTTTAGAAATGGTGACTAGTGAGTATTCACTGACCTGGTCTTTCTCTAGAGTGAGCAGCTGGTAACCTGTTGAGCGACTGCAGACCAGCTTTCCACGACTGTCAAAGGAGGCAAGACGTAACCTGGAGACAAAGATGTTTGAAGAAAGCTTTCAAACATTTCAACAGCTTGCCACCATGTTAGTTCAATCTGTTGCAAAGAGGTGACAGGAAGTTTAACAGCATTCACATGCCTCTAATTTAAACATGAGGGCACCACTAGCACACAGCTAAGCCTAAACATTGATGGAAACAAAGGTAACCTGTAACTGTCACAGGGTCAATACATTATCAGCTGAACACTATAAACTATACATCAGTTTCTATTGTAAATTTGTATACATACACAATTTAGGTATAATGTATTAAAGTATATATAACAAAAACATGTATAGAAGTAGACATGAGACATCCGTGTCAAAGAGTAGAGTATACACCCTATAATAAAAATGATCCAGTCATTACCAAGTTTAAAGTAGGTTAACACAACACAACAAATGCAGACAAAGTCACGTGAAAAGCAAAGTAGTTTGTAGAAGCAACTTTAGCAGCAATAACCAAGTAATCCTTTTCTGTGTGACTTTATTAGTGTCTCACATGGTTGTGGAGAAATTTTGACCCACTCGTCTTTGTAACTTTGCTTCAGTTCATTGAGGTTTGCAGACATTTATTTATACACAACTTTCATTTCTTCAGGTTGAGGTCTGGACTTTGTCTGGACTATTGCGACACATCGATTCTGCTCCATTGTAAATTTGCTGCTGTGCTCCGGATCGTCCTATGACTGAGATCATGATTAAAGCTACTTTTGAATATCCTAAAATCAGCTGGGCTCTTCCTTATTTTTGTTCAACTTTTAAGTCCAGCATTTGAAATGTTGGTGTAATATTTGATTATTTTCTGGGCTTCGACCTGCAAGTAAAATCTTTGTCCCCGTTTCATTAATTTAAGGAACAATTCGATAAATTGCGACATACAGTCCCCTTAGCTAAGCTGGAAATGATCATTCATGCACTTGTGTTATCGTGTTTATTCATATTGTGATTACTGCAATGCCCCATTTACCGGCATGGACAAATCATCTCTTTGTCCGTCTATAAACTTTAAAAAATGCGGCGGTCCAGACTATTAACAAATTCTGGAACGCAAACTCATGACACTCCCTTTAAAAACACACATACACTCATTCTTTTTATTTATTACGTTAAGTTACTGTGTTGTCTCGTTTGTATTGTGTTGTGCTTGGTGCCGACGTGGGACAGTTTCATTGTACTATTGTACCAGGTATGACTGCAATGACAATAAAGAGTTATCTCTTGTCTCTCTTTACATCAGCTCTCAACAGATTTTAGGTTTACTTTCCTTTTTACATTACTGTATAAAATTAAACAGTCAAAAGGGTAAATGACAGCCTATTGCCAAATATGATAACACCTACCAATTACAGTGATCAATGTTGATCAGTCACATGTTCACAGTCAGTGCTGGCCCACAACTTCATCACTGTATCCTAATAAAATAACTATAGCCAACTGAGAAGTATAGCAACTAATCATTTTAAATGCTGAACTTCACTCTGTATATAAATCAACTTTAGCAAACGCTTCATGAGCAAATATTTCTTAGCTCAAGAATGTGTTTGCACATTTATCTCAATATAATGATTTTAGTTTCTCTATTTAAATTTTTTTCTATTCAATGAAATTTTATTTATATCGCACCAAATCACAACAACTGTCACCTTGAGGCATTTTTCAAGGTAAAGATCCTACAATTAAAGCGGGATCATACAGTCTGTTTGCCTGCACCACTGACCTGTATGCCAAGTGTCTTCGTGCTTGTAGACTGACAGCGCCCCCACATGGCTGACTCAGAGTATTCCTCTTGAAGACGATGAAGCGATTTGTGTAGGTCACCAGCAGGTCGAAACCAAAGTTAAAGCCCGTCCACCTCCAGCAGTACTGAGAAAAGGGGAATATCACAGTGTTTTCCCTTTGGAGAAATGAATCCATAAACAATAACTGTATGGAAACAAACTCACATCTCCATCTTTAATGAGCTTCCTGCCACACCTCATGCTGCTCTGCTCAAACTCGTCTTTGTTGGGCTCCTGAGGACTAATAAACAGAAGTGTTTGTCATCACAACAGCATTAAAAGCAATGCATGTGATCCATGTGC